GGGGGTCTGGGTCAGTCCCAGCGGCCGTGGGGCGTGGTCTGCATCAGTCCCGCCGGCCGTGGCTGTGCAGCTGTGTCCTCTGTGGCTCTTGCTCACAGTTCCTGAGCTCTCCTGTTTTTCCTCTGAGCACCCAGCGACCATAGGTCATGCCCGTGCGTGCGGATGTCAGAGCATGTGGAGGGGCCCCTCGGCCTCGCGGGCAGGCAGCCCATGGTCTGTCTAGCAGCACGTTAGGCCCGTGGCGCTCGGCAGCACTGCTGGCCTCAGATGGCGTTTACCTGAAGGCAAAGGGACTCCTTTAACCTGAGGGGGACATCCAGCCAGGGACGACCTGTGAACTGTTTCTCTGAACAGATAAAGAGGCTCGAGGCTCGGCTCAGTGCCACCGAGTGTGTGGACGCCAGTGGCGAGTCCCACGCCAACAACGCCACCTGGACGATGGACGGCTGCACGACGTGCGAGTGCAGAGTGAGTCAGGGCTGCCTTCCCGTACCCCGACGCTGGGCCAACTCCGCCTGCCCCATAGCCCGTGCAGCCACGGGGCGGGGCACTTACCGCCAGGGCCAGGGTGGCAGTGGACGGGTGCCTGGGACGCTCGGGGCCTTATGTCAGAGGCGGGACCAAGGGCCCCCGGGGAGGACGGCTCTGTCCTGTGCTCGTCTGGTTGGGAAGGACAGAGCAGAGGAGAGGAGTGTTTCACCGTCCGGGGGTCAGGGTGAGGTGTGGCGTGGTGCAGGATGAGCAGGCGACCCGAGGCGGTGACAGGCTGTACTGTTTCTCCTCAGGACGGGCAGGTCACCTGCTTTGTGGAAGCCTGCCCCCCTGCTGCTTGTCCGGCACCTGTGAAGACCACAGGCACTTGCTGTCCCGTCTGCCCAAAGGCCACCTCGGAGCCAAAGCCTTAGGCTTGAGGCCTCGCGCAAGTCTGCAGCACCGTGTGACCAGACGCCGAGCCGGAGCTGCAGACCGGGAGGCAGCCGGCTTCAGCCGTTACGGCATCGTGCAGCCATGCTGCCCGGACCGCAGGGCGGCACCTCTGCCCGGTGTGCTCGTGGGGACGGCCGCAGAGCAGACACCCCGACAGGGAGGCGCCCAAGCCCGGCTGGGGCGCCGTTTCTCAGGTTTTTATTTAATTCTACTAAAACCACAAATTGGTGCTACTATTAAACTGCACGGTTGGATCACTCCGCTCCCGAGCTGCTTCCTCATAGCCTCCTTGCCATCACTCTGCAAGTGCGGCAGGGCACTGCCTCTGTGCCAGCACGGGCCTGCCGCCCACAGGTGGGGACACCCCTGTCACATCTCCAGCCAGATTTAAAATTGGTGCTGGACAAATGACCAGGATCTCGGACGAGGGCGGTCCTGGACGCGTCTCCCGCTCCCTCCGCCCTCTGACTGCCATCCTAGCACCCATGTGCCCTCTCACGGTGACGGCCCAGGCGTCGGGGCTGGTCTCGAGTGTGAGACTTGGCCTGCCCGGCTGGCGGAGGTGCCGGGGCTCACCGCGTCCCAGCAAGGGTCTCGTGGGTGGCAGCCCGGGGAGGGCACGAGTCTTCCAGGACGCTCGGGCCAGCACAGGGCCAATAGCAGTGATCGGCGGACGCTCCTATTCACTGCGCAGCCTTGTCACGGCGGCTCATAGCGCTCAGGGTGGTGGTGTCTCCCTGGTGAGCCCAGGACCTGCGAGGGCAGGGACCCCACCATGCTCTCCAGAGCAGCTCCTCTGGGAGGGTTCAGGGACACTGGTGCTGGAGGGAGGCAGAGAGGTGGGGGCTGGGACCAGCAGGCTGAGGGTCCCTGCGGCAGCCTGCTCGGGAACACCGGTGCTGCCCAGCCCTGTCGTGCCAGGAAGGACAGCACACATGGGTGGCCATCTCTGAGGGCGGGGCAGTGGCAGCCGCAGCTCGGACTCTGGCTCTGAGATTCCGGCGGGGGACGTGGGGGAAGAAGAAGCAAATGTCTGAGTGCCCCGTGGAGGGTCTGATGATGGTGGCGAGTGGAGACCCGACCCACACGCGGTGCGTTCACGTGGGACACACATCTGGTCTGCTATAATGATACCGTGGTTATGAATAGAAATTAATTTATTTTAAAAAGAATATGTTCAAAAGAATTGAAAGAAGACAACACATGCAACATAGATGCCATTGCAGGGTGAAGAGGGACACTTCGTAGTTCCATGGGGATGAGCCCACCAGGAGAACACTCCATTACATGTGTGACGTCCTTACATCGTGCGAAGCTAGCTAGTGACGGGGACAGGAGAGCGTTTCGGGGGGAGGGGGGACAGGCAGTGTCCTCAGCAGGTGACAGCAACTAGACTGACATCTCAGGTGCTGCCAGCTCCTGCCACCTAGTTGAACACAGGACACGTTGTTTTCGAGGGCACGGCGTCGGGTGGGGTGGGCAGGGCCCAGGGTGGGAGAGGAGGGGCAGGGGTGAGGGGAACTGGGCAGGTTCTGTGGCCCTGGCCACACCCTGAGGGCTCGTCTTCCGGGCCGCCAGTGAACTGCAGAGGCCGTGCTGGTGGGCACGCTCCAGGCAAGCCGGTGCCCTCACATCACTCGGGTCAGATCGTGCACCACAAGTTAGCCACGCCCCACCTGGGACCCCGTGCCACCCGGGAGGAGCGAGGATTGCTCAATCCCGGCCCTGAGCACGACCCCCTGTCCACCCCGGAGCCTCAGCACCTGCTGCCAGGGGGCAGCTGGGCGGTCCATGCTTCCATCCGTCCTGGGCATGTGGGCGCAGCTGCCAGCAGTTTCTTCCCGGGCTCTTCCTCTGAGGGCGGGTGTCTCCCTGCCCAGTGTCAGGTCAGTGCCACTTTCCAGCCTTTGCCCCTGTCACAGACAGCAGGCGTTTCTGCCACTGAGAACCACCCGAGGCAGCTTCCCAGCCGTGAGTACAGCCTGGCACAGCACCAAGCCTGCCGCTCACCTGGCTGGGACGCCCGGGGCCAGAAGGCAGCAGGCGTGGAGCCCTGCTCTGCGTGGCTGAGGACCGTCTCCGTGGGGCAGGAGGGTGGTGGGAGCGTCCTGTGGCTCGAGAAGGCCTCAGCTGCCCAGGCATCTCACCCAGACCCGACCCAAGCTGCAGGGCCAGCTGCCCACCTGACACCTCTACCTGCTGACCCGACCTGTTGGTCCTGCCAGGTGGGGCGAGGGCCACACAGTCGGCCTTGTCCCGAGCGTCCTCTCTGCCCAGGGCCTCACTGCACGGTGGCCTTCCTTCCTCTGTCTCCCCGGGCCTGGTCGCCGCGGGGCAGCCCTGGGCATGGAGTGACTGTGTCTGTGTCAGCATGTTCGTTTCCACCTGTCGCGGGACACCGTGAGCGTGGATGTGCCCTCCCACGGTCCCAGCCAGGAGCCCATGAGCAGGAGTTGGCAGGTGGCCCCATGGAGGGTGTGGGTGCTGCCTTCGCAAGTCCTCATGCGGCCGCCCCTCTGCACGTGCGTCCTCAGCTCTTCCTTTCTATAAGGTTTTGCTAGGAGAGAGACAGAGACACAGAGACAGGCAGCCCCAGGGCCTTTACGCCACTGTGCCCCCCTCCCTGACAAGCCTGGACCTGGCACTCCACTGCTGGCCAGCAAGCTTGGGGCAGCCCTGATGTCCTGTCCCCACACATGGACAAGGGCTGGCCAAGGAGCCTCGTATCTGCAGGTGCAGCGTCCCCGCCCCCAGTCCTTGGGCCGGGCTCTCCACATGAACCCTGGAAGGCGCAGGCAACCGGAACAGGGGCGGGGCTGGAGCAGAATCCGGCTGGGAGGCCCATGAAGACCCAGGAGAGGAGCGTGCTGCTGCCCTTCCACGTGCCCTGTGGCTCTGCGGTCGAGGTTGCTGCCTCTGGGTGGTGACTGCGGGTCAGGGAAGCAGGCCTGACCGCTATCTAGACTCGGAGCAGCCAGGATGGAAAGGGCAGCGTTTCCCAGGCCCGGCACCAGCTCAGGGGCTGCCTTGTGGGACGCCGGCCCAGGGTTCCAGGCCGGGGACCAGCTGGGGTTGCTGAGGTCCTGGGAAGAAACCTAGCGGCCTTTGGAAAGGAGGGGTCCTGCCCTGAGCCGGGTCCACCCCTCCTTACTTTTGGCGAAATGAGGTGCTGTGAGGGAGGCCCTTACCGGGACCCTTGGGGGGCTGTGGGTGGCGCTGAGCCGTGCAGGGGCCCAGCCTGCACTTGTGCCTGCCGCTCGGGAAGGGCTGCACCACCGCCACGTAGAGCCTGAGGCCCATCCCAGGACTATGCAGCCCCCTCTCCAGGCCCCGGGAACCGCCCGCCCACCTCCACCGTGCAGTCTCTGGGGGCCCAGAGCACAGGAAGGTGGGGTCGGGGTCTGGGTCTGGCTCATGAGCAGTGCCACATGGTGTGGCCTCGAGATGGCGGGGGCTGGCGGCCACGCTCTCAGCTAGGCCCTGCCTGCAGAGAAGGCTGTTATCTGTGGGAGCCCCTGGGGCTGGTTAGCGCCTGGCAGGCCAAGGCCACAGCTGTCTTGGCTTCCCAGGAGCAGGAGCAGCCAGAAGAGGCAGGCATCCTTGGCCACAGCTGGCCACAGCTGTCCGCAGCCTCACCAGGGAGCCCCCACCCCCGGGGACACTGTGTGGGCGTGGGAAGGGCAGGCTGCTCAGGCTGCAGGGGACCTGGCCTCCTGCGAGCTGCAGGGAGCGGCTGCAGCACCACCTAGTGGCGCGTCTGCGCACTGCAGTTGAGCTGGCAGAGGTGCTACCTCACTCTGCAGTGCCCCCTGCCCGCCAGTCTCGGCTGGGCAGGCACGGCCGGCACTCTGGGGTCTCCAGGACTTTCCCTTGCTCAGCCTTGCAGGGCAGTAAGCCAGAGCCCACTCCCGCCACTTGCTAGCTCTTGAGGTGAAAATGTAGGTTATTCATATTCTTATCTAAAATAACGTATGTATCTCTGGTGACATGCTTCTCTGTTACTAGCTGCATTCCACTAGTGTTTATACTTGTGATTTTACTATTTAGCTAAAAAAGGAATAACATTTTAATCTGTTCTTTGATCCATGGACTGTTAGGCTCATTGCTTAATTTCCAATTACTGAGATTACCCTACCTGTCTTTCATCTTTGGTCTTGAGCTTAATTCCGGCTTTGCGAGGAACACGCTCTGTCTTTACTCCGCGTCCCGAACTTTGTCGAGGCCCTCTGTGGCCACGCACGAAGTCTGTCTGGGACGATCTCGTGCGTAGTTGGACAGTGCACTCTGTGGGCAGCAGGTGCGTGGTGGCTGGGGGTGGGTCCCACATGGCTGACCTAGTGGTTCGAGTCCTGGACCCGGGGCCTACATCACACAGCGGACGTGTGCGCGCCCCACGTCCCAGCCAGCGTGGCTGTTCTCAGAGGCAGTTTCTCACCTCTGCCTTCTCTCTCGCTCCGCCGGGCTCTCAGGAGCTCGTGAGTCCATGGCGAGACAGGGAACAGCGCTGTGCTGCTGGCCTAGCGGCCTACTGGCACCCACTGCCCAGACGCATCAGCGAAACGGCCCCGTCTGCTGAGTTGGCCCCAGTTCGTGTCCGCTGCTGGTCAGCTGCTGAGAGAGGCCTCTCACCCGCAGCGTGGCCTCCTGCCTGCGGGCCTGCTAGTTCGGACCTCGTGCGTCGAGCCCGTCCTTGGGTGGGAAGTCCTCCGCACTGCCATCTCCTGTCAGATTAAGCCCTGACCTTTATTACGCGGCCCCGTGCCTAGAGTACGCCTTGCTTCCAGTCTCTGTTCCGTGTGAGGCGTTTTGCTGACGCGTCACCTCCAGCTCACTCTCCACCTGCCTCTGCTCGCCCCCGTGCCGACACGACGCACCAGGGCGTTCGGAGCGGGTGGGCTGCCCGTGCGCTCAGTCTTCTTTTCTGTCTGTCCCTGGACTTTCCGTTTCCCTCTTCTCAGTTGTTCTCTCTCTAAAGTTCACTTCCGTATTTATTGGGTGAGGGATGGGGGAAAGAGAAGGGAGCACCCCTGAGGGTCTCACCAGTGACCCTTCCCATGGCCTTCCCAGCGAGCCAGGACACAGGCACACGTGTGCGGTCCCCCGGGACCTGAACCGGTCTTCCCTCGATGTCCTGTCTGCGAGGGCTGCAGCTGGTACGGCTGTGCCACCGCCCGGCCTGGCTCCTGGCGTCTGAACCAGGCGCGGCTTACCGCTCTGTCCCGCTCTCGCTCACATCCACGCCTGTACTCGCTAGTGC